CTCTCTTGCGGCTGCTGTACCTCATCTCGTGGCCTGGCTGCTTGCCCCTGAGGGAGACCCGGATGCACTAGACATCCCCACCCCGCGCTCTTACGCAGAGGCGATCTCGGGTCCCTACTCCTCTAAGTGGCAGACAGCCATGGACGCAGAGATGGCATCCTGGAAGTCCACAGGCACCTACGTCGACGAGGTTCTCCCTCCAGGGGCGAACATCGTCGATGGCATGTGGATTTTCAGGGTGAAGCGGCCGCCGGGTTCTCCGCCTGTCTTCAAGGCTCGTTACGTTGCTAGAGGTTTCAGTCAGCGACAGGGAGTTGACTTCTTTCAGACCTTCTCTCCCACCCCGAAGATGACCACTCTTGCTGCACGTTGCTGCTCAGCGTGACTACGAGCTGCACTCTCTTGACTTCAGTACAGCTTTCTTGCAGGGCAGCCTCCACGAGGAGATCTGGCTGCGCCGCCCTCCTGGCTTCACTGGGTCGTTCCCTCCTGGTTCCCAGTGGAGCCTTCGGCGGCCAGTCTACGGTCTCCGCCAGGCGCCGCGCGAGTGGCACGACACACTGAGGACTACACTTGCGGCCCTTGGGTTTGCTCCTTCCACTGCTGACCCGTCACTGTTCCTGCGCACAGACACGTCGCTGCCGCCGTTTTACATCCTCGTGTACGTCGACGACTTGGTCTTTGCTACTGCTGACACTGAGGCACTCGCTCGTGTGAAGTCGGAGCTGCAGAAGAGACACACCTGCACTGACCTGGGTGAGCTGCGCAGCTACCTTGGCTTGCAGATCACCCGGGACAGAGCACGCCGCACCATTACCCTGACTCAGTCACACATGGTGCAGCAGGTCCTTCAGCGCTTCGGCTTCAAGTTCTCCTCACCACAGGCCACACCTCTGGCTACCAGTCACTCGCTCTCAGCTCCACCTTCGGACGAGTCCGTAGAGCCGAGTGGCCCGTACCCAGAGCTTGTAGGCTGCCTCATGTACTTGATGACCTGCACGCGACCTGACCTCGCGTACCCTCTTAGCATCCTTGCTCGTTACGTTGCGCCTGGGAGACACAGGCGAGAGCACTGGGAGGCTGCTAAGAGGGTGCTGCGCTACTTGTGCAGTACATCAGGCATGGGGCTGGTGCTTGGAGGACGCGACAGAGTTGTCCTCACTGGTCACTCAGACGCTTCTTGGGTGGACGACCTGGCTACGCAGCGGTCGTCACAGGGTTACACTTTCAGCCTTGGCTCTGGTTCTGTCTCTTGGCGGTCCACCCGCTCTTCTTCTGTTCTCAGCTCTAGTTGTGAGGCTGAGATCTACGCCACGGCCATGGCTGCACAGGAGTTACGCTGGCTCACCTACCTGTTGACTGACTTGGGAGAGCGGCCTAGTTCTCCTCCAGTTCTGTACGGAGACAACAAGGCGGCCCTTGCCTTGTGTCAGGAGCACAGACTGGAGCACAGAACGAAGCACATTGCTCTTCGCTACTTTCTTGCTCGAGAGCTGCAGCAGCGTGGTCAGCTTCGTCTTGTGTACGTGGACTCGAAGGCCAACACTGCTGATGTCTTCACCAAGGCGCTTCCGCCTAGTGATCATCAGCGGCACTGTACTGCGTTAGGCCTTGTGTCCACATTACCTCATTTGCTTACTGCTTGACTTTCTTTGTACTGTGATTTATATATATCGCTGCTTGCTTGCTAGGTTTTGATCACTGTGTTGCTTGTCTTGTTCTATATATATAGCTCTGCATGTGAACTGGCCTTGTGGCCTTTGCTTGTGTTCAGAGTGTGGTGACGTTGTGATCCACCCTGGGCTTGCTTTGCTTTGCTGGACTGGTCTTGTGACCCCTTGTTCTCCCCCACTTTGCCTATGGGGGTGTGTTAAATTATAATGTGTTGGTAGGCTGTAGTGGGGTAGACAATATAGGGTACAACCCCATTAGGGTTAGGTACTTGTACTCTTGTTCTCATTCCATGCCATTCATTCTTGCCTAGAATCTTGACATGTACCTGCAGGAGCTGCTAAAGAAGGCGAAAATTCCAACTTCGCCCACCTTTCGCCTTCACTGCGACAACCAGAGCGCCATCAAGATCGCGAATAAGCCAGGGTTCGTGAACCGCACGAAGCACATCGCGTTGCGATACTTCTTCGTCAAGGACGAAATCGACCAGGGCAAAGTTGACCTCACGTACTGCCCGACAACTGAGATGGCAGCCGACTTCCTCACCAAGCGTCTGCCACGTCAGCAGTTCAAACACTGCTCCGACCTCACCGGAGTGGTCAAGCGAGTCAGCACCCTACGCGTCCAGGAATAAAGGGGAGTGTTACGATACGAAGCTTTATGAGAAGGCACTCCTGTATGCTGCAGGAGCCGACTCTACCGAGTACGAAGTCGAGGAGTCAGAAGAATCGAAGCGACACAGCAACCGTCTGACCAAGACCGATGCGGGAAAAAGGCATTTGAAATGAAAAGAGTGGGAACAGGTTTGAAACCGATTCCCGCGCCGCACGGTTTGAATTTCGCTGCAATAAGGGAATGTACCCCTTAGAGTACATGGCTAGGTAATCACCCGGATATAAGACCTTAGGGTCTTATGAAAACTACGGGAAAAAATGGTGGGGGGTCTTCTCATATTGTCACACTAATATAAGACCCGGGTCTTTACAAATGAACATGTTTTTTTCACTTGTATTTGAATGCAAAGCTCATGTTGGTGTTTGATTCGTTTTTAGATTACGGAAAAGCGGTACGTCGAGGATGTTTTTGTGACGACTGTTTGTGAATGTGAAATCCAGATATTGCTCTCTGATTGGACAACCACATAGCCAATCAAGTCAAACGAATCTCAAAGCAAGACCATGAGAATCGCATAGTCAGACATTTGCCAGGTGGCATCACCCTCGCAACTGGTCAAACTTTGATTCATGAGCCTCGTAATGGCGGAAAAAACAAAAGAATGCACAACATTGACGGTGCGATGCCCACGTGACTTCATCCGAAGGGGAAACATTATGTTCTCCTTCACAAAACGACTCTATAATATTATAAAATCACACGTTCGCTGTAAAGGTGGGGGGTCTTATAATGTTTTCAGCCAAAAAGGGGGGTATAACAAAAACATACCCAAATATAAGACCCACGTCCGTATTATATACCCGGGGGTCTACAACTGGGGGGGGTCTTATATCCGGGTGATTACGGTACATGGCTAGTCTAGGTCGTTTCGCATTCCTGTGCATTTCTATATAAACCTTATGTATGCATGCTATCATCAATCTCAGTCATTTTACATTCACTCTGACCTGAGTTCAACACTTCCGCTGCAACACTACCTGCGATCAACCCTGAACGATCCTCTGCTAAAGTCCTACCTCAGATTGTAACATTCATCAAGCACGAAATTGACAAAGTGAAGGTCGATCTGATGTACTGCCCCACCAATGACATGGAAGCCGACTTCATCACTAAGCGTCTGCTACGCCAGCATTACCGCCAACTTCAGTGGAATGTTCAAGCGAGTCGGAACCTGCTACACCCGAAATGAAGGCAGGTGTTACGACAAGGGAAGACATAAGCATTCGTGTACGTGACACGAACAGACACTACCAAGTATGAAGACTAAGGGCTGGAACGAATCGAACAGTCGAAGGCGGTTACCACCAAATGTCCGATCCTGGCAAAACCATCAGAAAAGGGATTGGAACGGTTCTGTTTCGGATTCCTATGCCACATGTTTTTTTTCGATGTACCCTTTAAAGTACGTTGCTATCTAGGACCTTTCGAAATTATTTGTAATCTTACATTATCATATATATGTCACTTTTGTACTTTTACATTCACTATGACACGCGTCACTAATGGCTTCCGCTGTACATCACTCTGCGATCAATCTTGAGCCATAGCCTGACTATGTCCCATGTGAGATTGTGACAGTCTTTGCCTAGCTTGAATTTCCCCTAGATAAGGTTGTCACTTTCTCGTCTTTTCAGCCACAATCTCGTTATTCACTTATTTCATTCATAAGAAGTGCCATTCTTGGAACACTTGTTCGATTTCAACGACTACTCGTTTTCATATTTTTTTTCCTGCAACCCACACCCACGTAAGAAAGTCTCCAATATATTTCACTCGGTGGCGCCGGTAGCGCCCGGTAGCGCTCGGTAGCGCTGCCGAGTGAGTCAGCAAGCTGACCGCGGGCAAGAAAAAAACTAAAACCCATGGTCAGCTGGCTGACTGGATTGCACTGCGAGCGCTGGCAGTGCAATATATATACCAATGGGTGGGGGAGCCATCCAGGTCAGGAACAGCTTCGTTGGAGCCCATTGAAAGCATTACACGTGGGGAACTTGTAGAGGGCCGCTTTGAGCCGTCTGAGGAACCCGAACCGCTGGGGTAGGTTTACACCTCACAACCACACGTGCATGCATGGTGGGAAAACACTGAATGAATGGATTTAGGGTTGAGGCTCCCTGACCGGATGCATGCCCGACTGGGGTTTATTTTTTTTTGCCCGCGGGCAGCGAGCTCCAGCGAGCTTGCGTTGAGATGTACCTCTACTGTATGTTGTTGAAAGTTTCAAACAACATCTGCTCTGATCTGACCATATTTCTCGGGCGAAAAATTGAGCAGACACAAATTTGGAGTAACAACCGTCGCGGCGTTACAAGTCAAAGCAGCGCTTTCCCTCATGGAGCGCGCCGCCCTCGGCGCGCTTTTGCTGCTGCTTTCGTGTCTCGCGGTCTCACAAGTTGCATGCGTTCCTCTTGCCGAGTCCCAGGGTACAGTATACGTTTACATTGGCGCTAGGAAAGGAGGAAAAGTATTAACGACGTGGACGTGAATACACTTGACTCCTCGTTCTGCCTGCCTTCTTTCCGCCGTCGATTTTCTGTGATGCCGCCAGGTGAGAGAGTGTGTGATGAGAGTCGACCGAACAGTCCTTCGTTTTCCATTCCTGCTTTTCCGTCCCCTCTTCCGATTCCCGCCTTGCTTCCTCCTGCCGCCGCCAGCGCAAGTCCTGCTGGACTGTCAGAAGGCGTGGAACACGACGATTGATGGCTGGGTGGTTGGTGGGGAATGCAGCAAGGCAACGAACGTCACGTGCGACGCCAAGGGCATGATAACAGCCATGTGAGTGGTAACAGCCATGTGAGTGGTAACAGCCATGTGAGTGACCCTGGCTATCCGGCCTCGTCCTTCTCTTCCGCCATTCATCCCCCATGTCGCCTCGCGCCCTTCCTCCTCGCGCCCTTCCTCCGTGATCCAAAACGCTGGCAATGTGCTATTCAGCTGTTCTGCACGTCCCACCTGTCTCCAATCCGTTCTCGCTTGTTAGTGTGTTTATCCGTCACATAGTAAGGGCTACCTCCTCCCCACACCATGCTCACGTCCCCCACATGAGCCAGCGTGGGAAGCCATGACATGAGAAACATGCAACAGCGTAGTCGTACGCGGCATGCAAATACATCGTTATGCAGTGATCTCCACACATGCCCTCTGCTGTTCCCCTCGTCAGATCCCTGCAGTACAGCAATATCAATGGTTCAATCCCTGACTCCATTGGCAACCTCGCAAATATTCGTACTTTGTAAGTGCCTTTCGGGAGACTCAAGTGCCTTTCGGGAGGCTCAAGTTGGATGTATGCACACCTAGATCACTGCAGGTAGGCACGAGCAAAAATTCAAATCCCGGTTCTGCTCGTAACACCCATTGGAATGTGCCAAGGCGGATCCGCCACACTTCATTGGGCCATTGTGGGAATCGATTTAGCGTGTGGCGTGATGCAAGCAAACCTAGTTCCGTAGACTTCTGCCCATTGAATGCGGGTGCTTTCCGGCGTTGAGTCTCGTGCCGTTTACACTTGAGTGCCCAGTTGACACTTGAGTGCCCAGTTGACACTTGAGTGCCCAGTTGACACTTGAGTGCCCAGTTGACACTTGAGTGCCCAGTTTACACTTGAGTGCCCAGTTTACACTTGAGTGCCCAGTTTACACTTGAGTGCCCAGTTTACACTTGAGTGCCCAGTTTACACTTGAGTGCCCAGTTTACACTTGAGTGCCCAGTTTACACTTGAGTGCCCAGTTTACACTTGAGTGCCCAGTTTACACTTGAGTGCCCAGTTTACACTTGAGTGCCCAGTTTACACTTGAGTGCCCAGTTTACACTTGAGTGCCCAGTTTACACTTGAGTGCCCAGTTTACACTTGAGTGCCCAGTTTACACTTGAGTGCCCAGTTTACACTTGAGTGCCCAGTTTACACTTGAGTGCCCAGTTTACACTTGAGTGCCCAGTTTACACTTGAGTGCCCAGTTTACACTTGAGTGCCCAGTTTACACTTGAGTGCCCAGTTTACACTTGAGTGCCCAGTTTACACTTGAGTGCCCAGTTTACACTTGAGTGCCCAGTTTACACTTGAGTGCCCAGTTTACAGAGCAATCGCATTGAAAATGGGCTCAACTTGAACTGGCCAGTCGGAACCCACCCTCTGTTCGGGACGCTTGGCCTGCCAAGGGCCAGCTGGGCATGCATAATACTTGATCTGGTCCGGTGACTCCGGTCTAGGGTCTAATTTGGCTGGTTAGGGTTTGACGTTTGTTGGCCAGCTTGACTCATGGAGGCTGGTTCAGATCAAGATGCATATCTGAAGGGCAGGTGTATGTATCCAAGAGCTGTGTGCTGCCCAGCCCTCTCCTTTATGCTGAGTACCATACATTACCACGAGAGGTGCTTGCCTGCCTCAACCTGAACGTTCTTCCCCCTGTATCCAAAATTGATGAGCTCAGAGAATCACCATGAATGACCATGCAGATGGTTTAGTTCTCATGTCTATGCTGATGGGTTGGTGTCTCATGCTGATTCTGGCGCGTGGATTCTGAGAATAGCACAATAGTCTTGACTCACATGAAGGAGGGATGCAAGGGATAATGCTACAGCGTAGCTGTATAAGGTGGCAAAGTGTAGCTAGAGTGCACCTATTCCCCACCATGTCGTCGACTCTTCACGTAAGTGTGCGTGCAGCATCATATCCAGAAGAGGCATGTGCTTTTGGCAGACCGAAATGGTTTGAGTCGAGGTGGGACAAGCCGGCTCCCTTTCTGAGGCACGAGGCGAGCCCTCAGCCTGACAGACATACCTGGTCCTCAGCTAGGGCGCCTCTTGATGACAGCTGCTCACTCACCCCTTCACATGGATGTTTTGCCTGGTCAGTCGGTCCGGGCAAATCATATCCAAGTAGAGCCGAGGAGCTGAGCTGCAATGCAAGCATGGCGACTACATTTTCTCGCCTAATCTATACGCTCGCCACATTGGTGCATGCATGCATGCCCTCTGATGTTCTTTCATCAGAGCCCTGCAGTACAGCGCGCTGAGTGGTACCATTCCGGACTCCATCAGCAAGCTTGCAAATCTTCGTACCCTGTGAGTGCCATGCTTTTCTGAGCTTTGTTTCAGACAGCAGGTATGCATCCGAGAGAGCACATTCCAAGAGCTCTGTGCTCTGGAACGTGCAGCTGCCTTGTTTTGCTCGCCTCGCGTTTCAGGCCCGGTTTGGGGGTTGTTGATGGGTCCGGGACCATCCGACTCTTGCAGCTTGTAGAGCAGGCCGAACTTGAATCATCTCAAAACTCGTCAAACTTTAGAGATGGTCAACTGGGCCCGGCGACTAAGCGAGTCAAATTCAAGTTGTGCTTGTTGTCTTGCTCATACTTAATCCATAACTCTCACCACCCCACATACATCATGCATGCATGCTTTCCATCCTTCTCTTAACAGAAGCTTCTCGTACAACAGCTTGAGCGGCACAATCCCGGAGTCCATTGGCAAGCTTGCGAATCTCCGTAGCCTGTCAGTGCCATGCATCCCTCGGTTCACATCTTACCCCCATCAGCACAGCCAGACCACGATGCTCTTCTCACATGAGGTTTTCCGAAAGTTCGAAATGAGCATGGCCACTTGCCCCTGTGCTATGCAACACAGACTAAAGAAATATCGTTTAAGCAAACAGTGTGGATGTATGTATGTATGTATCCACACAATCATGCAATGCCTGTGAAGCTTGTGCCTTGAATTCTATCTCTCACATTTCCTTTCCACACCTTCGCGCTTCACCCACTCCTCTCCCTGTGCTCTATTTATTCAAAGTCTCCGACACCCTAGCTCACGTCACGTCACGTCACGACACGGGTTCACATCCAAACATCCCACCCCTTTCCAGTTCCGCTTCTGCTACATAGTGTATCCAGAACGAGTGCCTTCCTGCAGGTGTTGCCTTGATGGATAAACAAAGCCCAATGAGGCCACAGCTGTATATCTTAGTGTATCTAAATATGACTTGAGACACCCCATTCCCAGTTTGAGTGGAAATGGATTTACTAGTCTTCTTCTTCAAGAGTCAGTGTGCTGAGTGAAAGAATCAGAAGGGAGGCAGTGAGCTAAGTTGCCCTATGAAGCTGTTGGGCAGAAACGGGAGCATGCCAGCGGAGGAGCCAGGGGTGGAGGGGTAGCCTGAGTATGGCTTCTGCAGGAGGAAGGACTGCTGCCGCTGCTGCTGCTGATCTGGAGGGGGGGGGGGAAGGAAGGCCTGCATCCGGTGCAGGAGGCGGGGAGGCAGATGTGGGGCCAAGGTCTGGTGGAGCTGAGGGGGTGGCGGCTGATAGGTGGGAATTGTGCGAACGTCTTGGACAGTGGGGCGAGGAGTGACAGTAGAGCAACGAAGAGCGGTACCCGTGTGGCTCCGACCAAACCACTCACCACTGAGGGCCTTGAAGCAGGTCTCAGTGGTATGAGTGGTTTGGTTGCAGTGTTGGCCTTTGTTGGGGCCATGTCGAATGACGTAGCAAGGGGGGGAACCCCTCTTATGGCCACCTTGAACAGCACCCCCTCCACCTCCCGATGTCCCACCTGTAGCCCCACCGCCAGCCCCTCCACCCCAGAGGAAGTGGAAGTGGCATCGAGTTCGCTGTGGAGTTGATGCGGCCGATGGCTCGAGTGTCAGCGATGCACCAGGCGCCATTGCGGGATTTGAAATCGAGTATCACAAGTGTACTTCGCTTGAAGGGCAGCGACCGTGATTTGAGCAGCAAGAACTGCTTTGTGGGTATTCACAGATTGCGTGTGTCGCCACCTTCTCCGCGGAGATGGTGAGGCGCGAGCGGTGTGTGCCGCGGCTGCATCCAGTCTGATAGCACCACCACCTCCTCCGCGGAGGTGGTGAGGCCGAGGCATTGGTGGAGATGTCAGACACGAGGCATTGGTGGAGATGTCAGACACGAGGCATTGGTGGAGATGTCAGACACGAGGCATTGGTGGAGATGTCAGACACGAGGCGAGGGAGATCGGGCGGGCGAGGTGGTTCGCCGGGATGGGGCGGTGTAGACAAAGGTTCAAGTCCAAGGGGGGGGAGGTGGTTCGGGCTCCTCAGGGCCATCCGCTTTGGCCAAGACGTCGGAATGTAGATTAAAGCCGCCCACGACGGTGGAGCGGAGGACACCGATGAGGCTCTGTGATGACCGGTGCCAATTCAGTGCAGCAATGAACCGGTTCGGTAGTGCGGTAGTGCCGTCCTCGACCTCCAGGGCGGCGTGACTGGGAGGGGAGGGGCTGCCTGCGCGACGGGGAAGAAGGCCCACGTACGTCTGCAAGCAGAGGGCCTTGCTGTGTGGAGAAGGGACTGCACGAGATGCGAGCAGAGGGCCTCGCGAAATCCATGCGAAGGGCCGTGCGCCAGCTGGGCACGGTCGTCGCGACGGTTCGGTAGGGCTGCGCGAGGAGCTAGGGAGGTGGTTGCGATGGCTAGGCAGGGCCGCACGACTGCTAGGAAGGTGGCCGCGATCGTTGGAGGGGCTGCGGTACTGCTGGACAGGATGTGGCACGAGAGGAACGGACAGTGGTGAGGGAGGGCCATGGGAAAAGAATCAAGTGGAGTATCAGCTCTAGTATCTAGGGGCGTATGGCTTAGGCTCTCAATAAAATTAAAAAAACGAGCAATCTTAGAGGAGCTTAGAGAAGAAAAAGCTACATCAGGGGTATACAAGATTGAGTTGGATATGAACACCAAACCTAACAACTAGGCAAGAAGACCAACTTGCCTAGTCGGAGGGAAGGACAAACCAACCCATGAAACCCCTCCTTGACCAACAAGGCTGGGGACCAGCTTCTAGGTTGAAGATTCGTGTTCACCCCAATTAGAGTGGGACCCACTCTGCACCCAAAACTAGAGCATGCAGGTATAAATATATTATAGCACTGAGTATGATGGCAGAAAGGAGGCAGTGATATAAAGTTCACAACAATACTAGATTCAAACACGGTGTGCTCTGCTGCTCACTCAATGGTGTTATTGCACATGCGTGCAACATGACAGCCGCAAGCATGCCTCATTGTCTTCTCACCTCCTACTCTCCCCCCACCAGGAACCTACAGTACAACAAGATCTCTGGCTCACTTCCTGAATCCATTGGAGAGCTCACACGGCTTGATTATTTGTGAGTGCTGTTTGTCATGTCATGGATGGGGTTGACATGCACGTCACAGCCAAATTCTGATTCAGGTTCTGCCATGTCATATGCATTCACGCATTCGTGTTTGGCGTTCCTCTCCCTGTTTGACACCCCCATTGTCCAAAACGCAGCTGGCTTCTCAGTAACAACCTAAGCGGCTCGATACCAGTGTTTTTGAGCAGGCTTCGATCTGTGACCTACTTGTGAGCTTCTTGAATAGAAGGGTTTGCACAGACCTTTCTCCCATTGGGTTGCATACAACCTTTTTTCTTGTGGCAAATGGTTTAGTTTGAACTAATGAGATCTGAAGACTTTGATAAGCAGATAAGTTCTCTGGTTGGGTGAATTACACAGGGCGTGGGAATGGCTTGTGGCTTGTGGCTTTTGGGTTGTTGAATGAAAGCGAGCTCAGCGGGCTTGACGCCATCTAACATATCCAAAAGCGTCTTGCCGATGTGCACATCTGGTAATTCCCGCCCAGCCGGCTGTGGTTCGTTCACATGCCGATGCCTCGTCGTGCTGGCTGCCGGCTCGGCTTCTATGAGCAATCTCATCCATTCAGCTTTGGTATAGCCCATCTTGAATCTGGCGCTTGGTAACCTCTCTCCACATTCGTTCTTTTCCATTATCTCCCATCAGTAACTTGGGCTACAACAGCTTCACAGGCACAATTCCTGACTTCTTCACCACGCTTACTAATCTCGCTGGCTTGTAAGTGCCTTTCATGTTTTCTGGTTGACGAGTGAGCGATGATCAGCTGCGATCAATCAAGCTCACGTGTTCTTCTTCACTCTCCGCTAACTTGAATTTGACACTCACGTGTGCTTTGATTCTAAAAATTAGGCACTCGCTTGGCACTGGACGCTGTATGTCTCTGCTGTTTTTTTTCTTCTCTTTATACATTGTATGTTTGTTTTGTTTGTTTTATTTGTTTTGTGCGACCTAATTTGGACGCCAAATCCGTAACACAAGCACTCACTCAAAAGAAATGAGCCCATTTAAATTGAACCCAGCAAAAACTTTTCATTTGTAAATTCACAGGAGTACACAATATCTCGTACGGTTGAGCATGGGGCAGGCTGTGTGGGTAGGCCAGCTCTGCCTTCAATTCGCCCGGGGGGGCATCGATGGCTTGTGTCACAGCCCGCCAGTTGTTGTGGTTGAGCCGGGCCAATGGAGTGGAACAATGGTGTGCACATGAGGGTCCGCCAGTTGTTGTGGTCCGACCCAGGTATAATGTAATGGGTCAGCATGTCTTGTGACAATCCCATTCTTGGGATGTACCGCTCAACCTGCCCTACCCTGCTAAACAAAGAAAAATCATGGCAGTGGTGTGCAAGGTGAGTCAAACACTTGTCTGTTCAGTTCGTGCTTCCTACTGTTTGACCCTTAGGGGTGAACAGTCAAACACCCAAACCACAGAGATCGTTGGACTCAAAGTGAACGTGTTCGGTTCGTGCCAAGTAAGGTTCGAGCCAACTAGGGTTTCGGAAGTGTTGGAGACGAACACGTTCGTGTGCATTGTTTGCTCATCCCTAGCCTCGCCTTAGGCACGTCACAAGCCTCCCCAGCTTGTCACCTAATGGATGAGCCACGAGCCGACCTAGGACAATTTCCGCAGCTCAGTAGGCGGCCCTTTTCATGAGATGGCGAGGTTTGGCTCATGACGAGGCTGCCACTGGCTGGCTGGGCTGGCTGGACACTGTTCACGCCTACCTGAATCTCCTCACGCCACCCTCCCTGTGCTGTTGCAGATTTCTCCATTCCAACAAGTTGATCGGGCCAATACTACCAGGACTGAGCAACCTTCACTTGTGTAGAGACTTGTGAGTAAACTGCTAAATTTCAAGGTTTGAATGATACTTAGGTTTCATATTCTATTTCATGGGTTTCCTGGGAATTGATCCCACTTTGTTGTCCTCTGCTTGCTCGTTCTGCCATCATTTTTCTAGTTGCCTATGCATGATCTGTTGTGATTGGTTGAGCAATGCTTTGGTCCAGAATCCGTTGATAACTTGAACACTTGCATCCCTGCTTTCTGTTACTCTGATTCTGTTAGAATTGTTAAAGGGACTTCGCGTGTCTTCTTTCCCATACGCTATGCATCACTGTATGATACAATATGCGTCATTGTATGATACGGTATACATCACTGCATGATACGCTATGCATCACTGTATGCTACACGCACATGCTCCAAGCTTGATTAGCTCAGTGTAACTGGTATTAAAAACGTTGGACTGCATAAGTTCTGTACCCATTGAGTGGTCTAGAAGTAGTCTTCACAGAACAATCTGGCTCAAAGATGGGGACACTGTAAGAGGCAAATAATTGTAGCCTCTTGTATGGTTTTTTTGCAGAACAAAGTCTCCTTGCAGACATTGTTGCTCCGCGCAATTGTCATCGCCATACTGAGACGTGCAACATGTCATGCATCCACCACACAGGGTTGAGCAAAAAATTAAACTACTTTTGAGTCAAACCAAGCAGGCTTTTTTTTGCCCAAAACTGTTCGGTCCCACTCATGCAACACACTCATACTCGCACTCATGCAACACACTCATACTCGCACTCATGCAACACACTCATACTCGCACTCATGCATGACGCTGCGAGTATTTACTCGACGCATTAGCTCATGCATACACCAGAGTCTAAGGCCACATCTTTACAGCAAACTGCCTGTATTGTCCACATCTGCACAACAAACTGCCAGTTCAGTCTACATCTGGTGGTGAGATGTTCTGCCACAAATACCGAGTCTGGCTGACTCAACTCAGCCGGATAAAACAAATAAAGAAAAATAAGATGCTCGTTTCGTCACTTATGAGTGAAAGAAAGAGCAAGTCAACGTGATACTTGACTCGTTTACTCATGTCTATTAAATGGAGTACTCTCACCACATGCACTACTCTCACCACATGCACTACTCTCACCACATGCACTACTCTCACCACATGCACTACTCTCACCACATGCACTACTCTCACCACATGCACTACTCTCACCACATGCACTACTCTCACCACATGCACTACTCTCACCACATGCACTACTCTCACCACATGCACTACTCTCACCACATGCACTACTCTCACCACATGCACTACTCTCACCACATGCACTACTCTCACCACATGCACTACTCTCACCACATGCACTACTCTCACCACATGCACTACTCTCACCACATGCACTACTCTCACCACATGCACTACTCTCACCACATGCACTACTCTCACCACATGCACTACTCTCACCACATGCACTACTCTCACCACATGCACTACTCTCACCACATGCACTACTCTCACCACATGCACTACTCTCACCACATGCACTACTCTCACCACATGCACTACTCTCACCACATGCACTACTCTCACCACATGCACTACTCTCACCGCATATATGCCCCTCCCGTCCATCCATTGCTGCCTCATCCCACCTAGGTACCTTCACGGCAACATCTTAACGGGGCCGATTCCTGACTCCATTACCAAGCTCTCAACCCTCCGTGTCTTGTGAGAGCCATTCCAACTTAGGTTGACATGGTGTGAGAGCCATTCCAACTTAGGTTGACATGGTGTTAGAGCCATTCCAACTTAGGTTGACATGGTGTGAGAGCCATTCCAACTTAGGTTGACATGGTGTGAGAGCCATTCCAACTTAGGTTGACATGGTGTGAGAGCCATTCCAACTTAGGTTGACATGGTGTGAGAGCCATTCCAACTTAGGTTGACATGGTGTGAGAGCCATTCCAACTTAGGTTGACATGGTGTGAGAGCCATTCCAACTTAGGTTGACATGGTGTGAGAGCCATTCCAACTTAGGTTGACATGGTGTGAGAGCCATTCCAACTTAGGTTGACATGGTGTGAGAGCCATTCCAACTTAGGTTGACATGGTGTGAGAGCCATTCCAACTTAGGTTGACATGGTGTGAGAGCCATTCCAACTTAGGTTGACATGGTGTGAGAGCCATTCCAACTTAGGTTGACATGGTGTGAGAGCCATTCCAACTTAGGTTGACATGGTGTGAGAGCCATTCCAACTTAGGTTGACATGGTGTGAGAGCCATTCCTCCTTGGGTTGACAATGGAGCCGCACTTCACAGCACACCCTGCATGCTCAGTCTCTGACTGCAAGTTTGCACTTCTTGTGCTACATAGGTAGCTGCATGTAGGTGATGTTCTGAAGTACGTGTTCTATAAACCTTGTCTTTGAAGGAGACATCAGCAAACAAGGCAATAAGTATCGATTGAACTGAGGATCTGCCCGAAAAAGACTCGTGCTAAGTTTTCTCATACTGGCTTTGAAAGTGAGTATTGCACTGCCCACCCCTGTACCAATCTCCCAGCTCCCCCCCCCCCTCCCCCCTCCCCCCTCTCCCCCTAGCCTCCTGCTTGTCCAACTCAACCTGGGCCAAGCTGACTCAACATTTTCCTTCCCCTAACCCTAGGATACCCACCGTATTTGTTGCAAATGATTTCGTTCAAACATTGACAAAATGCAATGATGGCGTTTTTGCCTGGCGGGATCATCAGGGCGAGACTTGGCTGTTTGCCTTGGCAGTGGTAGAGGCTGTACGTACATTCCCTCATTCATTTGAGTGGAGTGGAGGGTTTGGGAGTGGAACAGAAAGCTTAGGAGTTCAAAATAGGGCGGGATGGGTGAAATTGTTGGGGGATGGGTGTTGGAGATTGTATTCTAGCTTACTCGCTTTCGTTAGATAACGAAACAAAAACAAGTATGCACTCGCCTCGTATGCTATGCACTTGCCTCGTATGCTCGTGTATACCTTAAGCTCCAAAAGTAGTGACCAACAAAACCCAGACTGGAATGTCAACAACAAAGAAAACCAGAATGATATCGGCACTCCTTATCCGTTCCTCCAGAATGATATTGGCACTCCTCATCCGTTCCTCCAGAATGATATTGGCACTCCTTATCCGTTCCTCCAGAATGATATTGGCACTCCTTATCCGTTCCTCCAGAATGATATCGGCACTCCTTATCCGTTCCTCCAGAATGATATTGGCACTCCTTATCCGTTCCTCCAGAATGATATTGGCACTCCTTATCCGTTCCTCCAGAATGATATCGGCACTCCTTATCCGTTCCTCCAGAATGATATTGGCACTCCTTATCCGTTCCTCCAGAATGATATTGGCACTCCTTATCCGTTCCTCCAGAATGATATTGGCACTCCTTATCCGTTCCTCCAGAATGATATTGGCACTCCTTATCCGTTCCTCCAGAATGATATTGGCACTCCTTATCCGTTCCTCCAGAATGATATCGGCAAGCCTTATCCGTTCCTCCAGAATGATATTGGCACTCCTTATCCGTTCCTCCAGAATGATATCGGCACTCCTTATCCGTTCCTCCAGAATGATATCGGCACTCCTTATCCGTTCCTCCAGAATGATATTGGCACTCCTTATCCGTTCCTCCAGAATGATATCGGCACTCCTTATCCGTTCCTCCAGAATGATATCGGCACTCCTTATCCGTTCCTCCAGAATGATATTGGCACTCCTTATCCGTTCCTCCAGAATGATATCGGCACTCCTTATCCGTTCCTCCAGAATGATATTGGCACTCCTCATCCGTTCCTCCAGAATGATATCGGCACTCCTTATCCGTTCCTCCAGAATGATATCGGCACTCCTTATCCGTTCCTCCAGAATGATATTGGCACTCCTCATCCGTTCCTCCAGAATGATATTGGCACTCCTTATCCGTTCCTCCAGAATGATATTGGCACTCCTTATCCGTTCCTCCAGAATGATATCGACACTCCTTATCCGTTCCTCCAGAATGATATTGGCACTCCTTATCCGTTCCTCCAGAATGATATTGGCACTCCTTATCCGTTCCTCCAGAATGATATTGGCACTCCTTATCCGTTCCTCCAGAATGATATCGGCACTCCTTATCCGTTCCTCCAGAATGATATTGGCACTCCTTATCCGTTCCTCCAGAATGATATTGGCACTCCTCATCCGTTCCTCCAGAATGATATCGGCACTCCTTATCCGTTCCTCCAGAATGATATTGGCACTCCTTATCCGTTCCTCCAGAATGATATTGGCACTCCTCATCCGTTCCTCCAGAATGATATTGGCACTCCTTATCCGTTCCTCCAGAATGATATTGGCACTCCTTATCCGTTCCTCCAGAATGATATCGGCACTCCTTATCCGTTCCTCCAGAATGATATCGGCACTCCTTATCCGTTCCTCCAGAATGATATTGGCACTCCTTATCCGTTCCTCCAGAATGATATCGGCACTCCTTATCCGTTCCTCCAGAATGATATCGGCACTCCTTATCCGTTCCTCCAGAATGATATCGGCACTCCTTATCCGTTCCTCCAGAATGATATCGGCACTCCTTATCCGTTCCTCCAGAATGATATCGGCACTCCTTATCCGTTCCTCCAGAATGATATTGGCACTCCTTATCCGTTCCTCCATAATGATGTCGGCACTCCTTATCCGTTCCTCCAGAATGATATTGGCACTCCTTATCCGTTCCTCCAGAATGATATTGGCACTCCTTATCCGTTCCTCCAGAATGATATCGGCACTCCTTATCCGTTCCTCCAGAATGATATTGGCACTCCTCATCCGTTCCTCCAGAATGATATTGGCACTCCTTATCCGTTCCTCCAGAATGATATCGGCACTCCTCATCCGTTCCTCCAGAATGATATCGGCACTCCTTATCCGTTCCTCCAGAATGATATTGGCACTCCTTATCCGTTCCTCCAGAATGATATTGGCACTCCTCATCCGTTCCTCCAGAATGATATCGGCACTC